CCACCCGCACTCTCTCACCTTCATGAAGGTCCTCAGGGGGCTGCCGCTGACGGTGTTCCTCATGGGCCGGAAGGAGGCGGTGTAGATGTCCAGGTCACCGAACCGGGCGGAGGCGGCCTCCTCGGTGTAACCCTTCGGGGCAGGTGGTGGTGGTGGTGGTGGTGGTCAGGTCAGGTCAGGAGCCGGGGCGGGGCGGGAAGGAGATCGGTGAAGTGAGGCGAGGCTGATGAGGTGAGGAGGATAGGAAGACCCCTGAGAGAATGTTCTGTGGATGATACTTGGCAACAGGACTTGGGGGTAGGAAACTTCAATTTACGTGGACAAGCATCACACATCCACACAAAATTGGCGATAAAGGCCAGTCGGAAGAAAAAAAATCACTATATACTAACGGAAACTTTACAGTTCCGGCAGCAGCATGTTGGTGAGGGGCAGCAGTGGTCTGCATGTTAGGTGGCGGCGTCCAACTGCCCCCTGAGGACACTGTCCACATCAGCGACTTCCAGGAGGGGCCGGGGGGGAAGGACGAACCACAAACGAGTGAAGCTGCTGCCAGGGCCGGGGGGGGAGAGGCATGTGCGCACATGCAGGAAAGCAAGCAAGACGCCAGCGGGGCTGTATGTAACGGAGGGGTGGCTGTGGCCATACTGTACGTCTATATGCATTACATATATATATACAGGGGCCCAAGGTGGCAGTAGGTACTTGGGCAGTACTTGGGCAGTACATGGACAGGCACCCTACCCCGGCCGAGAGGTATTTGGGTCGGCCCCTCTGCCTTTCCGCCGGGTGGGGTGTTCCCCGCCGGGGAAAGCAACTAGCCGGGACTGGCGGTTGCAACGCAGACAGCCAAGCAGCAGCAGCAGCAGAGGCCTAGCTAGACACACGCCAAAACTACGTCATCCAAACGGGGATGCAGCATGGCTGGCTAAACAAGGTTCGTCTGTCTGTTTCTCCGTTCACCCTCCGTTGAGCCTGCACATCACTTTTCGTCAGTCTGTCGGCCATGTCTATATCATCCGTCTGCCTCCTACCGATCTTCGCATCTGTATGTACATCCACCCATCTGTATGTATGTCTGCCTGTCTTCTTATTAGACCCACCCCTGGACCGAGTTTCCTGATTCGGCACTCGCACTCACCACCGTCGCGATCTCGGGGTTTGAGAACACGGCGGAGGGCACCGCCCAGTAGTCGGGCTGGGTGAGCTGGTTGAGAGCCACGGACTTGGCCACCGCCATGCCCTCCATCAGGGCAACTGCGATGAACAGATAAACGGACAGACAGACAGACAGACAGGCAGACAGACAGACGGGCAAATAAGCAAAACATGCAGGATATGCGGTTACGTGGGCATAATAGCGGGGTTAATGGTCGTGCAGGAGGGGGAGAACGACAGGCGCTTCTTGTTCGGCATTATGCACGGTCTCAAGGGGGTCGTCCGGCAAGGAGTTCTGCGGTTCTGTGGAGAAGGAAGTAGGATGTGTTCCAAGTGGTGGAGACGGTTGGTTGGTTGGTTGGACGAGCTGGTGTTGAGACCAGGAACCAGGCCGCTATCTGACCGAGGGCCATAAAAGAGAGCGGCGGCCCGGAGCTGCCGGAAATGAAGGGAACAGGAAGACGGCGCATCCGGAGTGTGGTGTGGGGTACAATATAACACATGTTCGCGTGTGTGTGCGTGTGTGTGCGTGTGTGTGCGGTTGTGTGTGGGGGGGGGGGGAAGAGGTGAGGTGCCCTCTTCCTGAGGCTGCAAGAGCTCTCCTTCGGCAGTGCTGCTGCGGAGGCCGCGGCCAAGGTGACCGCCATCTTCCGTACACCCTGGTGGAACCCGCAATCCCCTAATGAGTTTCACAGAGTGGATTGGTGTCTTCTGGGCCATGGTATGGATACATTAACTGCCGTACACCTCTAAAACCAAGTCATCCATACCTGGAGTTAGCTGGATGCGGTCGATGACGTCACCTACCGCCCAGATAGATGGTACGGCAGTACGGCAATACTCGTCCACCAGCACCTGCCCCTTGGGCCCCAGCTCCACCCCCGCCTCAGCCAATCCCAATCCATCGGTTTTGGGCACGCGGCCTGAGCAGAAGGGGGAGGGGAGGAGGCAGAGGAGGAAGGGGCGGAAGGTTTGGTCACGTCCCTCTTTTGCATTGTTGTGGCTGTTAGCGTTCTATTGGTATTGTTAGCATTCTACAAAAGTATTTGTTATTCGGGATATTACATACTTGCTGTTGTTTCTGCTGCTGCTGTATGATATAAAATAATGGATTCCATGCTCAGCGGCTCAGGGACGTTGTGATGTGGGTAAAATGCCGCCGATCAATGACGAAAGGTAAGGTAAGGTAGTCTGGAAGTTCTCACGGCGCTGCGGTCCACAGCCAAACAAAACACCACCTGGACTCACAGACACCTCCATAATACACCCTTCCAAAGGAAAACCCGTCTCCCCCTGTCCCCCTTTCTACCCCCCGGGCGGGGGCACACTAGGGTGTTCCTTACCCGTGGCCATGAGCACCTGATCCAGATCTTGAAGGACCTCCGTACTGCCATCGCTCCGGGCAACCACCAGACTCAACCGCCCATCCAACTGTCGACTAACCGACTGCGGGGTCAGTTCCGGGTGCAGTACAAGGCCCGCGGCAGCGTACTGCTCGGCCGCGAACTTCCGAACCTGGGGAGTGACGTGGGGTGGGAAGAGGGAAGAGGGGGAGAGTGTGGGAACAGGTATGTGTTTGTTTGTAGGGGGAGACCGACGAATGAAAACGGAGCGCCTGCTCTTCCATACCCGTTCCCCCCAGCCGGCCCCCCCCCACGGTTACCCCGATAGCCCCGCCCCGCCAACCGTTACCCCCCAAGCCCCCTCACCTCCCCGTCAAAGCCCCGGAGCGGCAGTGGTTGCCTGTACACGGTGTGCACCTCCGCCCCCATACGTGCGAATATACCGCTGAACTCCACCGCGATGTAGCCACCTCCCAGTACGGCAACCTGCGAGGGGGACGAAGGGGAGGGGGATAAGGGGGGAAAGGACGGACGGAGGAAGGGACACATGGCGGGGGCAAGGGAGGAGAGGTTCCTCTTGGGAGGTCCGATGGCAGGCGGCGGCGGGTGAGCGAGGCATGTAGTGATGGGGCATGTAGTGATGGGGCATGTAGTGATGGGGCATGGTACAATGCATGGTACGGTGCATGCATATGTGGGAGAACGGCTGCCAGAAGAGGAAGCTCTAGTTGTAAGGTGGGGTGGGGCAGTTGTTGGCAGTACCAATACTATGAGGGATGGTGGCGATGGCCGCCTGATCAGCCACCCCTACCACGGCCACACTTACCCCCCCGCCCGAAACCCCCCGCCCACATCCTCCCCCAAAAACCTTCACACATAAGCATACTCCCTCTTCCCCTCCCCTCTCCCCGTCATCCGTCGTTCCTTTTTCCCCTCTTCCTCCCTCTTTCCCCCCCAGGCTCCCCCCACCTTGCGGGGGCATTCCGGCAGCTCCAGAGCCTCGTCAGAGGTGATGCACAGCTCCGCCCCGGGGATATCCAGTTTGCTGGGCTTACCACCCACCGCGATCAGGATGTTCTTGGCGCTATACCGCCTACCATCCACCTAGGAGAGGGGACGGGGGGGGGGCGAGAGGGGGGGCGAAAAGGATGTAAGGAATGAACGGACGGGTGGAGGAATCACATATAAGAAGTAGTTGATCGGGAGGAGCGGGAGAGGAAGAACGCTCCGCTTCCCCTTACTTAGGGCGGCCCCCCAACACACTTACGCTTCACCTGCCTCTAACTCTTTTCGAACGCACAAGGCCCTGTAACTCCTGTTGCATACCTACCTACCTACATACGTACATACATACATCCGTGCCACCTGATAAGGTGTTACTCCTTTTCGGAATCCCCCTCTCCTTCCTTCCTCTAGCCCTCCAGTTGGCAACGGTCATCGACGTGTCGGCAGCTGTTTTCCTTCTCGATATTGCTACCACATGCAATCCCCCACCTTTTCCCCCTCCTCCCCTCCCCCTCCCCCTCCTGCTCACCTCCACGGTATGCGGGTCCACCACTCGACCCCGACCCTCGAGCAGAGTCACCTTGGCATTGCCAAGCGTGTTCTTGTAGGCGTTATTGAGACGCTACAGGGAAAGGGGAGGAAATCGAAGTATGAGAAAGAGGCGGGAAGGGAAAGACGAACCACGAACGAGTGAAGTGAGACGGGAGGGAGGGCAATGACAAACAAAGCAAGCGAGCCGAAAGGGTGGAAGGGGGGCTTACAGCTTGGGCGGACCCCAGGCAACCCCCCCCACACACACATCCACAGCCAACCCACCCGCTCTGCCTCAGCCCCCTCCTCTCTTGCAGCTGTGCATGTTTGCGTGTGTGTATAACATCCTGGTCCGCTTCTACCACCCCTGAACTCCCCACCCATTTCCCTCTCTCTAGACCCGCTTTACATACCCCTCCCCCCTTCCCCCCTTGTTGCACATAATACCCCGTCTTTCCACCCACCCAAGCAACCCCCTCGTCGCCTTTCCCCCCTTTCCTGTCCCCGTACCTGCAGCTCCTTTCTCTTCGCCTCGATGAAGGAGGTCCAGCTGTGTTGCAGTCCCTCCGTGGGAACCGACCAACTGAGGGGGGAAGCGGACACGCACACACACACACACGCGCGCGCACACACACCGAGCAAGATATGGGGGTGAGGAAACAGGCTCCGGAAAGGAATCATCGAGGGTATCATATGCAAGGAAATGAACATAGTGGGGGGGGGCGGTATATCACGTGTAGGGATGATATGGTACACAGGCAGCGGAAGCACGAATTCCCCGACGTCCAAAGAACCAAGTATCGCAGATGTGCGGGGTGGGCTGAGGGGTAAGACGAACCACGTGAACGAGTGAAGCTGCTGCCAGGGCAAGAGTGTACCAGATGTGCGGGGTGGGCTGGGGTCGGGGGGCGGAGGGGTTACGGAGCTCCATGCATGTAGCGAGGCACAGGACCAACATGAGGTGATGCGAGGCGACGTGAGGTGACCCCGCCTACCCCCCCCCAAAACATGTACAATGCCCGGGTATGTGTTGCAGGTCGCGGCCACCACTACCCGCATTTCCCTGCTCTGCCCTCTCCCCCGGCCCTTCCCCTGTTCCTGTTGCATGGTCGCACGCTGCGGCCGCCACCTCACTGTCCTCTCACTGGCCCTGAGAGTGTGAGAGGAAAGTCACTCCTGTCACTCCTGTCCCGGGTAGCCTCCGAAACTCATTCGGGGGCCGCTTCCCCCAGGGTAGGCCTCCGTAGAGGCGGACCTGCCCCTACCTGCAAACGTGCACACAGCCACACCCCAGCCATCTATCGCGCCCTCCCCAACCCGGCCTGAAGTCCCCAGACCAGCCCCATCGCCTCCCATTCCCCCTCCTTCCCCACCCTCACGTAGGGCCCATGGGAACCTCAGGACCCGCATGCGAACCACCCCCACCCCCACAGCCACCCCCACCCGAATCCCGCCGCGTGCCGGAAGTCGTCCGCGTACTCGGAGGCATACACCATGAGCTTCTTGGGCACACAGCCACGCAGCACACAGGTACCGCCCACACCCCCACGAGTTTCGGAGCTCACGTAATCGAAGGGCAGCTCACACACCGCCACCTTGGCGCCTGAGGAATAGGCGGATGGGTGGGTGGGTGGGTGGGAGGGAGGGAGAGAGAAACGCATCAAGGAACCTCAGGGACGCCAGGTCGCAAGCAGCAGCAGGGATTAGGAAAAAATCTCCGATTCCCCCTTTTGATAAGTCCGACTTTTTAAGGCGGACAAAATCCGCAATCAGGCTTCGGGGGTACACCCCCGGAAGTATTTGGACAGTGTGGTTGGATGAGGGGGGAATAAGCCGCAGATGGCGGGGTGAGGTCCCGGTAGGTAGGGGGACGCACCGGGTTTTTTCGGTGCGACATGGTGTCCGGAACACGGTCAGGGGAACCAAAGGGGAAGAAGGGGACACAAGGGGACCCCGCTGGCTAGTCCGGAGTGGATCGTGCCGGACGTGGCTTGGGAGGTAAAGAGCCTTTCCCAGCCGGGTGGCCATGAATCCCACGGGGCCGCACGGGGCCAGCGCACAACCACCCCCAAAAAAGGCGGCTCACGCGCACATACACAAGCACACACACGCACGCACGCACATGCATAGCTGCACATGAGAACGCACCGTAGGAGGCGGCGAAGCGTGATCCCCGGACGCCGCCGCTGCCGGCGCCGATGGTGAAAAGGTCAAAGTCAAAGTCACCGCCGGGGCCCCCGGGCGAGGCGGATGCTGCCACCCGAGTGCTTAGACCTGAAGAGTGAAAGCAGAAGTGGAGACAGGCATGACGCCAATTTTCGTTTGTGCGGGACGGGAGACTATGCAGAAGACACAAGCGGTGGCTTCACACCGAAAACCCCACCAAACCGAACCAGCAATACAGCGCAGCGTTTTTACCTCTTCCGAAGCGGGCAGGAGCCACCACCCGGAGACATCGCTTGCTGGCCAGGCCTGCAACAAATTAGTGGAACGGTATCGTGAGAGGAATGGCGAAGCCGCCGCTACGCAAGATGCTTTAACTACCGAAAGAGTTGTGATTTAGGGAGCATAGGGCAAGGTAACTGTATTCACACTTTATGTTCACAACTTGTGTCAATATTGGTAGAGAACGCACCTGAGGTAAGTTTTGCGACGTTCATGGCTGAAATTGGCAATTCAACTTGCGTTAGGAATCCAGTTCCCACTAGGTTGCGCATCTATACAATAAAAAAATTGGCATATCCTGAACAATACAGTCAAACATAACTAGACGCCGTACATCTAACTCGCGATCCCTTGCAGCAACGCCGATTGCGTTAATGTATGTTGTTACAGGGTGATATAGCTTCACCAGGGGCCCCCTTTCCCGAGGCAGTTCCCTGCTCTCCCCTGCTAGAGGGGCACCCTAATCCGTTCACCCCATCCGACTTCAGAATGTATCCGTTCGGTTCAGCAACTCACCACCAGCATCCAACCAAATCTAGCGATTCAACGGCGCCTCAACTTAGTTCCTGGTCAGCTGGCAACTTGATGTTATCACGTCCGACACCGTCCATAAGATGGGGGGCCACTGAATCCGGACACTCCGGGAGCAGAAGTCAGGCCTTAACCTCTGCCAGCCGCCTGCGTTAATGTCTACACGTGTACCATCGTAGTCTCTTTCCTAGTGGAAAGCAACGCCTGACATGTATGGAGTATGATCACCGTAAGATCAAAGAACAAACTGTTGCTGAGTGAGGGAACGTGATGTTCCGTGCAATGGTTTTTCCTTCTTGGAAGCGCCGGTAGTGAGTAGTGAACGATTTTCATAGATGATTGCTGCATCCGTATGTATGCATGTATCTCGCGCTATCTACCCTGAGTGCAGTTCAGTGGGAATCAGAGGTGGAGGCTCGAACTGCGTGTAGCGTTACAACTATGAACAAAACTGCAGGGCTTAAGTGCCCAATCGTTACACGCACAAGAGGCTCGACACCGACAGTTGCAAGCGTTCTGTAGACGGTGCAAAGCGGTTACAAGCTCTTATTGCCAGACAAGCGCCGTGACACCTCTCCCAGCAGCCGGCACATACGAACTACCGAAAACCTCCAGAAGAAGCACCAGCGACTACAACAAACATGCTTCGTCTTCTCAGGTAATGCGACTGGCGCGCTCCGATGGACCGCCTTCTCCTTCCCACTTCTTCCCACGATAGCAACCGCCAAGCCGACTTCTGCCGACAGCGCAAGCAGCCAGACCGCTGCAAGCCGCCCCAACCTCGTTAGCCACATGAACACATCGACCCGAACCCGCTCGCTCCTCCGAAGTTTCTCCACGGGCTCCAATGCATACTCAGGGTCAGAAAAGCACAGCAGCAAGCTCCTGTACCGTCATCCGATCCTCAGCAGCTGCTCCCTTACTGGGACAGCTGGCCGTACCACAGGCCGGTGATCTTGATGTCCTTGGGAGGCTTGGCACCCAGATCAGTGTCCGAGGGCTGAATGCTCTCGAAGACACCAGCAATCTCGCCAGTCGCGGTGTTCACCTGTGGCAGCAGGAATTTCGGGTTCGGTGACGTTTGGTGCCAAAGACACGAATGAAGCTCGGGCTGTTCAGACCCAAATCTACCCAGCTGGAGGTCCGGCAACAAAATCAGACCCACCTTGGCAACGGAGAAAACGGCCGAGCCCTTAAGAGCCTTGGTCGACTTAACGTTCTCCTTCAAGAGCTCCTCGGCATCAGCGCGAGCCGGCAGGGCAACGGCGTTGTCGTAGCCGGTCGAGCCACCGCGGCCCTGTTGGATTGGGGGGAAGGGGTCAAGGTGAGAGGAAGCCACAAGATTTCTGAGCGCCACCGCCAGATGCAAACGACACCCCTTTAAAAAAAACATGATACCCAACCCCGCTCATCGTGCCATGCATATGCGCGTACCTTGGGGTCCAGGAAGGACGATCCGCGGTAGGAGGGCACAACGAAGTCACCCTTGATGTTATCCAGGGTGCCCTTGCCGTCGAACTGCTTGATGGTGAACAGGAAAGCAACGCGCTCACCACCCGGCAGCTGCACGGTGGTAGCAGCGTAGTCAATGCCGTCCTCCTCCTTCAGCTCAGCCGAGCCATCAGAGCCAACCTTCAGGGTGCCGCTCATCTGCATTATGGGAAGGTGCAGGTATAACGTTAACATGTGCCGCTGATCAGGAACTTAACCAAGCCGGGCATTGAACGAATCCCCAAGCGCAGTTTGCTGATCATCATCAAAGTATTAACGAGGAATACTGATACTCTACTCACGGCGTCCAGGGTGTAGGTCAGGCGGGTCATGAGCTTCGTCTTCACGAACTCAGTCTCGCCACCCTTGAACACGCTCTCCTCCTTAACAGTGAAAGAGGTGGGCTCGATGCAGAAGTTCTCCAGCTTGTAGGTGCCGGCAGACAGCTCCGACAGGTCAGTCGAGCCCTTCTCCAGGACAGGGCAGGTGTTGGCAATGCCAGTGCCCTTAACCTGGAGGTAGGTCAGGCCCTGAAGCTCGTCGTAGGTCAGGGCATTAGCCGACTGCATACAAATCCAGTTAGGGCGAGGCGAGGGAACATAAGCGTTAGCCGATGACGGTCGGTGCGCTTTGCAAGTGATTGTATTTGCTCTAATTTAAGCCAGATCCCGTAGCTCAACTCAACCTTATATATTCATATATATAACAGCAATGGTAAGCACTAGAGATATGCCGCGATCCATGAAGTCGACCCACCCCAGCAACGAGGGCAGAGGCAGCCACGACCGCAGCGGCGGCCTGGCCGAACTCGACCTTCTGCGCCTTGCACACCACGTTGGCACGGACCGGCCTGCGGAGGAGTTACGATATGGCTATGGTCCCTAAGGTCTGGCGTCCGAACTGAGACATTACTGCACACCTGGCAGCGCGGCTGACGCCAGCGGCCTTAACGGTCTGAGCAGCGCGCATAGAGACGGCCATTTTGCTTCTGTGGTAATTGGCAAAGGAAGCGAAGGGTCGAGTGCTGCGAACTGGACGGAGTTGAGGGTCAGAGCTTGCCTTTTTGCACTGCCCGAGCTCACCTGCCGTACCAGATCGAGTTGGGCCCTTTTGGCATCGCGCCCAGATGGGCACATAGTGAAGTCCTCTGCCGACAGATGTATTTAGTTTGTTCATATGGTACTTTCTGTGTTGTGCTTGTGGCGGGATGTAACTTGGTCCTACTGAGCAGATTCATGGTTGTCGCGCAACACCCGTTTTGCTTATCGGATTCTTTAATGACAAACGGTGTTACAACGAAGTTTCATAATATAGATGGTGAGTCATCACCCTGAGAGCTTTTTTTTGAGAAAGCAGTGCTAACATGTGTGCAATGTGGGGTGCAAACACTCTGTAGAATCCAGATGGCGCAGAGTTAGCAATACGGACTCTGCTGGATGATGCAAGTATAGCTGCGAGATGTCAAGGACGCCTCCCCGCTCTAGTGCCCATATTGTATATGCGACATATAACGCTCTTGTCGAGAAGCTCCCCTTCTTGAAGCCAATCCCACCGTCCACAGCTACGGCTATAGCCCGGAATGAATTGGACTAGCGTTCCCGAAGGGCCACTCTACGATAGTTCACATGCGACCCCGGGGTCTTGTCCGAAACCATAGGGCCATAGTTTAACTGGTGTCTTTATTTGAAGAATTCTGTTGTTTGAATACTTCGTAATGAGAACTAAGACGCGCCTTTTTAATGATGATCAGCACCCTCCTCTAGTGCTCGCCTGGGTTCAGGCCCAACAACAATCTGCCTCTTCGCCTTGCTGTGAAGTAGCACATAACGCACACGCCGCCACGCACGCACGCATCAGCCAGCACCTGCTTCACAATTTGAAAATGCGGCGCCGCATCGACAGTCGCGATTTGTGCTTCCAGGAAAGCCCCCCTTCGTGAAAACCACACAGGTCGCGCGAGGGGCGAAGGTATATTCCTAATTTCACCCACCCCCCGGGGGAGGAGAGGATCCAGGGCCCCACCAATTCCCCAAGGCTTACACGCTAAGCACGCACGCACCCTCCTTGCTTCGGTAAAGTTTGCCTGTACCATCCTTGCCTTTTTTCGTCTCCGCGGCTGAGAGAGAGGGTATTGCAGCACCCTGTCAATGCCTCTCGGAGGCCCCCTACCGCCCCGGGGTACCCGGCCTTCCTGGGTGCTGGCCGCATGGGGGCCTCATACGGGCCCAAGGGCTGCCTGCAGGAAGAGGTGTCTTCCTTATCACCTACCGAGACCCCTGACCCGCCTCTCTCGTCCCAGCTCACCCCGCTGGCCCTCCCTCAAGCTCTCGTACAAACACACGCCATCACAGCAGCACCACATCCCCCTCCTCCTCCTCCCCTTCCTCATCCTCCGTCCTGGGCGCCGCCCCCCTCCCCTCCACCCCCATCATGCCCATTCCGGCACCACCCGCAGCTGCCGCTACAGCCAGCAGCGGAACCGCGTCCCCCACACCTGCACGCACTTCCCCCGTCACCGCCCCGGCCGACCGCCGGCGATCCGAGCCACTCCTGGCACCAACCCCACCACGGCGCCCAGCCGTCGCCGCCGCAGCGGTCGCCGTAGCAGCAGCTGTAGCAGTACCAGCAGCGGCAGGCGGCCAGCCTCCTTGCATCACGGCCCCCTGGCTCTCTACCCACCTTAGCCATCGGGCCCACAATCGGTCACGTGCGAGTGTGTTTGGGTTACCCAGTACGACCAGGCCGCGGCGGGCGCGGGTGATGGCGACATTGAGTCGGCGGTAGTCGCTGAGGAAGCCCAGACGGCCCTCGGTGTTGGACCTCACAGCACTGAAGACGATTACCTCCTTCTCACGCCCCTGCATGACTAGGGAAGGAGGGAGCAGGGAAAAAAGGGAGAGACGAACCACGGGCGAGTGAAGCTGATGCCAAGGAAAGACTGCTGCGGCGGAAGAAAAGAGGGCATAACTAACCAGTCGGCGGTTGTAAGGAAGGCTGGAAGAGGGGGGGAGAGGGGAAGGGGGGAGAGGGGGGGAAGGGAAGGAGGGAAGGGGGGAAGTGTGTGTGTGCGGGGGGGGGGGGGGGAAAGGGGGGTAGTTAAGGAAATGAGAGGAACAATGATATTAACACCCACCACGCGAATGACTTCTGGGGAGGGGGAGAAGGGGACCGGAAAGGGGGGAGAACGGGGTAAGGCGATGCGGGGGGCCTGCCCTGAGGCAGCAACATCGTTGGCTGCGTTAACGTGCGTTGTGGTGATGCCGAACCCTCAAAACGATGACAAATGCACCCAACGGCGTGCGCTCTGCGTGTGTGCGTGTTGCACCTCAGTTTCATTACCCGGAGGGAGAGGTGTAGCGAGTGCCCATGCGAACCAGATAGCTATGGGCCCAACAGCCTATAGCTAGGAGCAACAAGCTCCTAGAGACATAGTACGACGTACACGTCCTATACACCTACGCACGGACATACAGCAGCTGAAAACCGTTCCATGCCCTTCTCACTCTGTTTTCCTCCGCGCACGCAGCAGCCCTGCACACACATACTGACATACATACAGGTACACACCTGGAATCCATCCACCGATTTGATTTCCAGCACAGTCCCCTCCGACCCGCCCTCGCCCTCGCCCTCGCCAGTGGTGGCAGTGGCGGTGCGCAAGAAGGCCCCGGGCCGTGAACCCAGACCAAGTCCGGGTCTGCGGGAAAGATGTGACCCGTGGGTCAGTAGCTGCTGCAGGCGACGGACCTGATAACCGCAACGATGATGATGCGGCACAAGAGGGGAGGAAGGACGGGGAGGACGAGGAGGGGGAAAGCACGTTCATAAAAAACGATGAAGGTGAAGAAAAAAGATCCTGGTCGGACTCGAACGCGAGCAACCCAAGGGGCCGGGAGGTTCAGACGGAGCGGGGTGGAGTGGGGGGGGGGGCCGGCCTTGTAATACCTTTTGAATACACCTCCCTCCCCACTACAGCCGGTGGTGAGTGCGGTAGAAGTAATGGAGGGGGTCCCCACCCCCTATCCGCCCACCTGAACACCCCATTCTAAGGTGCCTTAAAGTGCCCTACCTGGCCGTTGTACGGCGTCACAATCCCAATGTCGCCCGGCCCCTCCAAGCACGACGCCGACCCAGGGGTCAGCAGCGCCGCCACCACCTCTGCCACCGCAGCCGCCTCATCATCGTTCTGGTAGGAATATCCACCGCTGCTCTGGCTGTTACCGCCGGCCGCGCCTCCAGCAGCGGCGGTTGCAGGTGCGACCCGTGGGTCAATGACCGCATTTGTTCGCGTCTCGCGACCCAGCACAGGGATGAAACACACCGGCACCTGCCGCCGCCGCAGCGCGTCACAGTAGATGCATGGTCAGACAAAAGGAAGTATACGACGCTTGATATGTGCATATGCAGGCTGATTGTACGGCGCTATTCAAGGCCCATAACATCTTCGTCGCCTCTCCCTTCCCCCCTTACACAAATCGCACATCAGCAAAATCCACGACCTTGGGGTTTGGCCAGGGGAACGCGGCCGGGGGCCGCCTGTCCCGTGGGTCAGGGGCGGACTTCAGCCTCCCGCCGTAGAAGGCCAGGGAGGGGAAGGAGG